TACCATCCAGCACAAGCCTGGGAGAGCTGCTGAAATGGTTTAAAAGTTTCTGTGTGGAATCTACCACAAAGTACCAGTTAAAAGAGCCAGGAGTGAAAGCTGAGCTCCCAGCTGACTAAGACTAAAAAAGATAATACCCCCAGGCATCTGTATGTCTCAGCATTTAAATTATATCCCTTGAAATGCCAATTTGGACTTTGTGCCAAGAAGCAGTTGAAGCCTTTTTTCATGGAAATACCCAATAGAAGACCAATCTGTTTAAATGAAAGGTGTCTCTAATCATTTGGTATAAACATAGCATGTTTTTATTTTATTATGTAACCTTGAATTATCTTGGCCTGTAATGAGGATCTTGCATTGTTACTGATTCTCAATAATTCCATGGAATTATGTTGTCTAAATGTGTATTCTAATGCGGTGGGGGGGGGGAGAGAAGAAAATCCTATCTAATTATTTAAATGTAATTGCTTGAACTAGCACATGTCCTGGTTTTGAAAAATTCTGTTATATGACAAAGAAATAATCTTACCTATAAGGGGTTTTCCCTCCAAGTGCCACGTCCTCACCAGTACCTGGCATGATGAAAGTGCATCAGTAGATTTATTATCGGACAGTCTCTCTATTTTTATTCTTTCCAAGTTCCATCCCGTGTCCTTCTCTTTGTAGGATTAGTGATTATATGGACCTGACCCCTGTAGACATCGTAGGGAAAAGATGCTACCACTTCATTCACGCAGAAGACGTGGAGGGCATCAGGCACAGCCACCTGGACTGTAAGTATCCCTGTGTGGGGGACGAACTGGGCTGGCATCATATCTCTCTCTCTCTCTCTCTCTCTCTCTCTCTCTCTCTCTCTCTCTCTCTCTCTCTCTGATGCTTCTTTGGCTTCAGTGCTGATTTTTCCCCTTCCTCTGTCCTGTATGCATTTGTGGTGTCTGTCAGCATGCCGTGAGAAAAAGTGAGACCTAAATCATTTCAACTTGTGGTGGCATTAGATTGAAAGGTGGACCTCAGACCCTGAGAAATTGCTGGATCTTGAGATGCTCTCCCAGAATTTTGTGGTCTCTTGTGCTCTCTCTCCCAGAAAGTGGTAGGGAACCCTCAATCTTAAGTGCTTCCTTGACCCTTTCACTTTCTAGAGAGCAACTTCTGCTTGAAAATTCGTGTTCTCAGTTTCAAGCTGTACATGGAAGAAAACACGTTCAAATAGGCCAGATCCACACAAAAATGTCTACCTGAGCAACCACAAAACCATGGCGAGGTCAGGAAGTCCAATGAGCAGGGAGAGAACACATCATATGGTTACAGTAACTCTCAACAGCAGTGCCTTTTCTGTGTATATCTGGATAGAGGCTCTTCAGAGGAGCAGGTACATCCAGCCTCTGATTCCTGGAAAAAAAGAAACTAATCTCCACCCTTTGAGTCTTGTCTCCGAGCTCCTGACCTTCAGGCTCAGTTACCAGGACCTTCTGTGGCATTCAAGCAAGCAAGACCAACAGGGTTCTGGTTGGATCCAAGCAATAACTCACACACCAGTATCATCATGCCCTTTTCCCTCAAAGCCCCGCGAGCTGTTTATTTATACTGTATATGAAAGGGGTCTGACAAAAACCCTGATTTGGTGGACCACCAAGAAAGGAAGGAGGTTCCCCTTTCTCATCAGAGCTCCTTTTTATGACCATTCAAAAGACTCTTCCTGAAAGACAACAGCTGGAGCAGCTACATTCCTAGAAGATGCTAAACCCAGTTCTGAACTCAGATTTTAAGTACGTGCAAGGGGCACAAATGAAATGGCTTCAAGTTGGAGGTTTTCTGTAGTGAACACCAGCCAAATATTTTTTGTATTTGCCCCCTCTCCCCTTTCTTATTATGGTTAAGGAGAGCTATTTTGAATTCTTTCTGCCTTGGCAATCATTTCCTCATTTCAAACTCAGATCTTCAAAGGCAAGATGGAGACAGCTCTCCAAAGCCTCAAAATGTGCCCACTTTGTGCGATGTTTTTAACCTTGATTTAGACACTCTAGTGTAGGAGCAAATTCAATGTCAAATTCTATCTACTGTATCTCTGGGCTGAACTTGCCTGCAAGGCTGCTCTCTGGCACACTCCCCTTCCAACACTGAACCATGTGCCTTGATATTGCACACCAGGGATTTAGGGAACACACTTGTTGCTAAGAATGAATGGGTGCCGTGTATCACAGAAGCAGATGGCTCTTCAATTAATTGGGGAGGAAAATGATGTTGTTTCCTAAAATGAAACATCAAGTTCTTTGTTGCCTGGAATTAGGAGGAAATGGAGAAAACTCGGGATCTTTGAAGGAATCTCTAGATACATTTTTGGGATGAGATAAGCCTGAAATTCAAACTTTAAAAATGAATATATTGCTCTTAGGATACTTTTGCAGACCATGTGTGTGAGGACCAGATGTATTTTCTCATTTGGGAATCTTAATTAAGGTCTAAATTCAGAAACCTGACACTGACAAAAAAGAACTTTGTCATCCTCTGTTATTATTTGGCAAACGTTATGCTATCTCTCTGGGATTTCATTTACAGCTTGAAGAAACACAATTCCTCAGGCACAGTGAGCTAGAGCAATTCGTTTCTTCCCATACAGCAAAGGTCTCCAACAAATATGTTTGATGCCATTCTTTCCCATCTACTTTTATCTCATTTTCAGTAGCTGGAATAATTTGAGAGTGCTGAAAATAAACTACTCTACCATTCACTATTGTGCACTTCTCCTAATTTTTCTGGTGTCTTGCCAACTAATAAACAGAGAAAGTATGCTTTCAAATTCTGCGATTTTTTTCATTACTTGATATTGACATACTGGCTATTGCTTTTTTATGATTTAGCCTGCTAACAATGATTGAGTTCACTCTTTTAACTCATACACATGACTTCTAATTTTGAGTTCTTTTAATAACCTTAAACACATGAAAAACAAATAGAATGAGCTGATAATTCTGCACAGTAAAATACACTTCACATATTTAGCTATCATGCTGTGGAATAACTCCACAATGTCAAGTAGCACACAATTAGTAAAGCTGTAGGGGGAGGAAAAGGAGTGTTTTGATCCTGAAGAATTTTGATCCTAATCAGATTGAAATTTCAACGTTCTTGTAGTGCTTAATATCTTCAATCACACACACACAAAAAAAAATCAAACTGATTCCAATGTCAGGTTTTGCATTCTGTGACTGAAAGAAAATGCTAAAATATACAAATGCATCTCGCTTTGTACAATAAACATTAACATCATTTTAAAGTAAGATTGAGTCTAAAATTGTGTGATGGAATGTCTGATGTTTACCTAATTCTCGAACCAAAGCCAGCCCAGTAACAAAATGACAGAGCATGTAATAAGTCTTGGTTGTGTAAACACTGGAAGAAACGGCAAAAAGCCAGCACAGCATCTTGCTTGTCCAAAGCCCTGGGCTATTACTAAAAGAGGCCTCCACTGTGTCTTGGTGGTAGAAGGTCATGGTGACATAGAATCAGTTCAAGAATAAGATAGAATTCTAAAACAAAGGGGTGGTTAAAAAATAAAACACATTAACTATTTAGCTTTTCTTCCTAGAGCTATTGGCACAATTCCTGGTTTTGTCCATGAAAGACAGATTTAAGACATCTGATAATACTTCTGATATTTGATAACTGTCTTAGGCTCTGGTTTATGGATAAAACCTAAAGACAAAAGGCTCATTCATCTTTAGTAACTAAAAATATCATCTTTATCACTGGTATCTTTTTTCCCAGCATAGGCATCTGTAAATCCGTAAGTGAATTTGTTTCTAGAATAAGGAACATAAAGGGGAATCTCAGCAGCACCAGGATTTGACAACTCTGATAAACCCAACCAAGACATGAGACCGTGTACTTCCCACTGGGTGAACACCAGACACCTGGTAGTTCACTGGATTTCAACATAAAGAATCACTAGAATCATGTTATTGATGCCAACATGGTGGGTTAGTGAGATTATTCTGGGCTTCTAAAACCAAGAGAGTTTCATGGCCCCTTCTTTCCCAATGTGACCAAAGACCTCTGTGATTTCTTTTCTTTAAGCCCAATTTCATTGATTCTTCAGGTCAAATTGACCAAATCAGCATTTCAAGGCTTGAATTTTAAACCACTCATATTAGTAATTATTTGGGCACCTTTCCCTCTCTATCACCTTTCTGATCTCCATCACTCAGAAAGTGCTGACCTAGAGATGAGCAGTCGTGACCCGAGAGTCACTTGCTCATTACCCAGAGCATCTGTGTCACCCTTGAATTATGAGAGGTTTCAGCACAACCATCTACCAATCTACCTCTCTCTGTAGCTGGAAAAATAGAAGGCTAAGCCAAACACAGACAGACGCAGGCTCTGCATTTCTCTTTATTCCCATTTAATCCTGTCTTTTGTCTCTACTAGGAGCTGAATCTATCTTGACACATCCACAGGGTTCTTCCTGGGTCAAATCAGCAACAATTCTCTAAAACCTTAAAGAGTGGCCTGGAGTGTAAAGGGGGAGGGGGGAACTCTCTTTCTCCTTGTGACATTACACTCCAACAGCAAGACTCAAACCTCTGCAGCTGTGGGATTTCAGAGAAAAGTAGACACTGAGTATAGACGTGGTGGCAGCTTTCCCTTCCCAGCACCTTACTCGGGATAAGAAAACTCTGGAAGAATTATTCCAGAGAGAGAAAGCTTTCAGATTGTCTAAGACACCAGGTGGAGGTTTTAAAAAAAAAAAAAAGCATGACCACCCCAATGTACTTGGAGGTGAGTGTTGAAAAAAAAATACAGTAATCTAAGTGTTTATTTCTTAATTACAAACTTCTATACTTCTTAACAAAACTAATACACAGCTACCTGGCATAATGCATTCCATGCTGTTTTGCATCAATAACCCCTACACTTCCCTCCTGAAGGCGTCTCATCGCCAAATGCAAGCAGACTGCTTAATGCAGGACTAATTAGTATATCCCCTTCCAGTCTGCAGGCCCTCCATTGTAATTCCTTCCCAGCTCATTTTTTTCCACAACCGAGCATCAATCAAAGTAAGTGCCCTGCCTGCCTAGGCAACACAAGATGTCCTCCATGCATTTGTCATCTGCCACACAAACAAAGGGGGAATTTAATTGTTGATTTGGGTATGCAGCCATTGCATGCAGCAAAGGAAGCTGCAAGTGAAGGAAGAAGAGTGAAGTTTGGTGGGTGGGCCAAATGCAGAGAGCACCCATGGGCTTTTTGCTATCGCCTCATCTTAGCCTTTCTTCAGGGCTGGTACAGCTTCAGGGATTTCACTGCAACCTGGGCATTGGCTGGACTTTTTCCCAAAGCAAATAATTTTTTTTTCACTTCTTCCGTGTGAATATGAAAACTCCCACAGAAGAAAATGCATTTCATAGCCACCCTGTCTGCCTTTCTTCAGAAGCCAAGTCAGCCTATATCATGGGCCTGTCCATTAATTGAAGAGACTGTCACTGGGAGCAAGATAAAGCCAGATCTTTATCCAGGAGTGAATTAGTATTATTATTTTATGTCTCCCCCCCCCCAAATTCCTGCCAGCTGCTGATTTGGGTTCTTCCCATCCATGGGCAGCAAGCACAGAGAAAAAAGACCAGCACGAGAGCCTAACCCACAGCTGAGTATCCGCTCTACACACTGGTCTGGAACAGCAGTATTGACATCACCCAGCAGCTTACAGAAATGCAGAATTTCAGGCCTGCCCCAGACTTACTGAATCCGAATATGCAGTTAACAAGATCCCCAGCCA